GAAATAGAAATGCTCATAAATCATAAGTCAATCGTTTGAATACAAAGGGAAATGAAAAGGTTGTTTATTACAAGCTGATAGGAATGAAAAGGGAAATGAAAATGTTGGTTAGAAATATGGATTTTGTATGGGTATTTTTATAATTTTTTTTATCTTTATTAAAGATTTTAATTTAAATTAGTTATCTAATTTTCATAATTTATACTCTATAAATTAAAATAATTATAAGTGTTTGTATGTCTTGCCCAAATTTTATAAATTTTTTTTATCTTAAATTTTGTACATACAAATTAAATCTAATAGTAGTGAAATTAGCTATAAAATGTGTTAAAAACATGCGCAATGAATAATATACAAACATCCTTCATAATAAATAAATAAATAGTAGCATTTTTATAGAATATTTTTTGTTTCATTTTCTATCGCATACAAATTAAATCCAATAATAGTGAAATTAGATGTAAAATCTTTTACAAACATGTGCAATGAATCACATAAACATTCTTCATTCTTCACAATAAATAAATAACTAACATCATGTTTGTACAATATTTTTTGTTTCATTTTCTACCACAACTTAAAAATCCAATCATATAATCATGATTAAATTAAACAATTAAACAAATATATTAAATATTTTATTTTTTAATACGTAAATCAGTCCAACATACTTGACAACACTAAACAATAAATCCAAAATAAAATAGGATCATAAGTCTTTTAATTTTTAATCGTTGTGTAGCTGATAGAAGTTACACTACACACTCAAAGACATTTTTAATTTTTAAATTGATGTGTAACTGATAGAAGTTACACTACACACTCAAAGTCATATGGAAGTTAAAAATAAACACGACCAAACCATGGAAATCAGGTTGGAAGTTACATTGTTAGTGGTTTGAATCGTGACCTGGCACGAAAATATTTTTTATTTAGTAATATATGTATTGTAGTTTATAAATACGATTATTCATTTCTGTACCATCTCATTTACAACTTTCACATATTTTTCACATCTTATGCAAACAATGCCTTACACGTTGCTAAAGAATATCAACATGGATAAGAGAGATAGAGTATCAAAGTGCGATGTTACGAACGAACTGCTTTCAAGAATCTAAATACCGTTATCGACTTGGGAATTGATATTCCACAAGGTGATTGTTTTAAGACATTTTTGTTTATAAATTTATTTATCATACATATGTTATTTAATATTGTTTTCCTAATATTTGTGTTTTTAACATTTTACAGAGATATAGAATTCATGTCTCAATCAAAACAATTCAAATAGATTTATTCAAACTTTTATCACAGAAGGTGGAGTCATTGGCATCCACAACTTCATTGTAGCACCAAATAGCGGTAGATATAAAACTACTACACGTATGATAAAACTTCAAGATGAAAAATTCCCAAAGTTTATGTATAACTTCAAAAGTTTTACTGATAATTTCCAGCACACACCTATGGTGAAACTTTAAGATAAAAAATTCTTAAAGTTGATGTATAACTTCAAAAGTTTTACTGATTTGGCTAAAAGGCTCATTTTTTTACGACTCATTGTTGATTGGTAATTATATCTTATACATATCAAAAGATAAATATATATTTTAGTTATTGAGAATTAATTTGTATCAATTTTATTTTTCAGATGTTATAGGAAGAGTTGTTGATGTGAGAGAGCCCCATATAAAAGACTTTAATGATAGGACTGCTCGCTTCGCCGAAATAACTTTGGAAGATACAAAGTTAATTTTTTTTTCTCTTTCATTATATTATTTTTTCAAAGACGAAAAACGTAGTATATAAGGAAGTGTTCAATAATGTTTAATAGTGTTCAATAATGATTTTTTCAATAATGATTTGTGATAAGGGAAAAAATGTTTTTATTAGGCGACACGTGGCTCGATAGAATAAATGCACGTGTGTTCCAAGGACCGTTAGTGTCCAAGATCAAGGTTAAGATCTAGCCTCAGTTTCAAGCTCAACGTTCTGAGATAAAATGACACTCAGTGTCTATTTTAAATAATTTATGACTCATTTATTATAGCTGATTCTTAGTTCTATTTTTATTTGATTTTATTTTTTTTAAATAATTTATGACTCATTTAATATAGCTGATTCTTAATTCCATTTTTTATCCGATTTTTTTTTCTACAATACTGTTTTAAGTCATTTTTAGTTGGTGTGAACTTCGTATATATTTTTGTTTCTTTAGAAATCCCCAAATTTTAAAAAGTATTAAGAAATTTTAATCTCAAATAAGTTAAATATCTCAAAATTTTGTAAGACTTTTTAAAATCCCAAAACTTTTAGAAATCTAAATTAAATACAACATGATTTACAAAAAATCACAAAAGTCTTTAAAAATTTTTAGAAATCACAATTGAATACACTCCTTTATAGTCATGAGTAGTGGTTCCAAAATTGAAAGTTCGTGAATCAATCATAAAGAATTTTAATACAACCATGGCGAGGAAATCCGCGAGCAATCTGAAAATGGCGATCTTTATTATTTTTCAAAACAATGCCTGTATACTGGATAACATCCCTCGATTGCTGAACTATATTTAGAGGTGTTACATATTTTTGTTTCGATTTTGAATAGTGAGTATTTGTATTTCAGTATGGTTAGGGGCAGTGAAGGGTGACAGACCACCAATTCCATGTCTTCTACTTCATGGGGATTATAAATAGAGTAAATTATAATTTTAGTCCTTGTATGTTTCACTACTCTAACTTTTTTGTCCTCTTCGAATTGCTCGAATTGCGTTTTTTATTTTCGTCTCGTATGTTTACAAAAAGATTACAAAAAAGTCTTTTATGCTTTGCAAAAAAAGGTTTGAATTTCATCCTTTATATATGAAAATGACTTTTTTGTAACTTCTTTGCAAACACACGAGACGAAAAAAAAACGCAATTCGAAGAAAATGAAAAAGTTAGAGTACTGAAACATACAGGACTAAAATTGCAATTTATTCCTATAAATACTTTCTATCACAAACCTTTATATGCAACCCAAACACGAGAGAAGGGGTACACAGAACATTTTACGTTCGGCTGACCTCAATTAAAGCCAACGAAAGGAGAAAATAAAATTAAAAAAAAAAAGGGTTCCTCCATTTTACTTGTATACCAGTACCCACATCACATTCAAATCCAAACGGTCATTTTAGATTAAAGTCTGTGAGAGTAAATCTAGTCTACTTCTCACTAAGAACACGACTCAAATCCTCTGGGCGTCAGATAGAAGATGTATACACCAGAATATGCTAACTGTTAAGAGCTTGTTTTTGTATATGATTGAGCAAAAACAGCAAAAACCTCCACAGCTGCTGAAAGATAAAAAATTTGAAGGTCTGTGAGTTGCCATTGGAAGAGCCATTTGGCGGTGGTCTTATTGATATAATACACGTCTTCTTCCTTTCGTCCGATACATGAAGTCTTCTGTGGCCAAAACATAGGCGACCTAAGAAATTCCAAGAGTAAAAAACGAAAAGGACAGAAGGGTTAGTCAAATTGCATAACTATATTGTATATAAGGTTCATAACAAAAAATGCCCTAGAAGAATTATTAGCCTAATTAGAAAAGGGAAAAAAAAAAACACTATCTTGGCAACTTACAAATATCTCTTTGATATTTGCTTCATTTTTGCACATTGCACTTTTTTCCTCTTTTGTAGTTAAGTCACTGTTCATGGGTATTTCTCGTAATTGTCACATTGTAAATCCGCCTTCTATAAAAAAAATAGAGAGAACACAATGCAGCAGAATTACCTTCTTTGTGAGGCTATTCACCTTCATTTTCACACCATTGTGGATTACAAGTCCTTCCATGGCTTTCTCAAAGTCAGAACTTTCATCTCCATTATAGAGTTTCCTTTTGTTCCTGCAAATCGAGCCACGACAATGAACACTTATGCACATCACACATTTAGAAATTTAAGCACAAATGAATTCGGTCTCATGCATACCTTTTCAAGTACAACCCAAGTTTCCAAATTCTTTCGGGGATAACCATGAGAAGCTCATTCTTCACATAATCTGCGAATTCGGGGTCCATTGAAACAGAAATTGATTCAAACTTCTCATTTTCGTTTCTCATCAGTTGAATAGTCAGACGCGTTGGATAATGTAACTGCACAAAAATAATAGTTCGAGCTCATATAGGACATACACTGTGTATTTAAAGCCTGTTTTGTTTGGAAGAATGATTAAGTTTCAATATACTCCCACTGAAGAGAAATAGAAACATATAGAGAGAAAAAAACCTACACATTCTATCCGGTACAAGTTGTCGTTCGGAAGAAGAAAACGGGCGTTGACATGGTAAACTTCATCAGAGAACAATTTAGTATTTCTCGATCTCTCGTATGAGTAGAGTTGGAGGAGTTTGTTGTCCATCTCATCTGATGCTATAGTTTGTAGCTGGTGGAAAGATAACGGGTAGTTACATGAGCTTTTGGAAACAGTAAAAAAGTTAAAAAAAGTATGTAAAGAGGAACACAGATAATAGAAATACAAAGCAATAACCTGTTTGACAAGTTTATGCATGAGCTTGCCCAATGTGAAAAGGACATATGACTGAGCTCCAAATATGGCTCGGCACTCATCCTCAAACTTTGCATTATCAAAGGACCCATTCAGGAGACTACGAAGAGCATTCTTAAATCTGTTTCAAAATTACATTTTTTTATTTTTTTTCATGTTAATCGCTCTTGTATATGAAATCGGGAAACAAAAACTTAGACAAGGGCATCTTGATAAAGTACCCCGCATATGAATCTGTTTGATTAGCACCATTTGAAATCTTCCATTTGTTGGCAGATGATGAGGAATGTAACTTTGCACTCATCATTCTGTCGTATAACATCTGTTGAATAAGGACAGTGAGTTAAGATATGGACATTATGAACCAATTACCAATTATACGACTCAAGATTCTATTACATTAAAAGCCCTAGCTATCTTGTGAAACTTACAAATAAACTCTTTATTGTAGTTTGAAATGAAATATAGTTGAGTTGCCTTTATTCAAGGCCAAACCTCAGTTTAGTTTTTGCAATTATACCTAAATTTGAAACTAGTCTTGTAAAAGCTTTCAGACGGCGCAGTAAAATGGTTCCATGAATAAATATATTACGCGTACAAAATTGTGATCAAAACTAAAACTCAGATACAATGTGTGCCATCCTTAGGTTACAACACCAAAATTTCCATCTACTCTGTTCAACTCTACGATTATACCAACACTGGTGTGTTTGTATATGAAAATACTCAATCCACACTCAATTCATACTCAAAATCTAACTCAACTTTAACTCAACTTCACTATCTTCAATATTATCAATAATAATTAAATAATACCAACCAATCATACATATCATATCAACTTTAATTTACTATTCATCAACTCACATAATTTTAACTAACCATCACTCTCACATCATCTTTCTCCTACTTTTATATCAAATCAACTTTAATTATTTTATTTTAAATATTATTTTAACATAAAATCAAAATCTCACTAACTAACCATACTACTTTTTTCAAAATTAACTTTGGTTAACAATAACCAGAAAACTCATTTGAACGGATATATTTGTATACAAACACGTTAATAATTCCAATCACAAACACCATACTACTGCCCAAAGAAATCAACAAACCTTCAATTCAGAACAAATAATAACAATAGTAATGATAAAAGAAATATCAACAACGGGGTGCAATCACCTGGTGAAGCCTGAAGAGCAAAAAGAAAGAGTCATTCCCGTAGAACACTCCACAACTCTCCACTCCACCACGCAACCCTGTCGAAACCCTGAGTGCCAACGACTTCTCTTTCCCCACAAAACGATCGACAATTTGCTCTGTTCCATCACTCTCACTAACATCAGCCTCACCTTCACTCTCATCAAACACAACGTTCTCACTCTATGAAAGAATCATTTCCTCTTTGGTATCGTTATCTGCTGATAACGGCTAATCGATCTCCATGTGATTTCGGCTTGGGGATAGTTTGCCCTCTTCCCTCTCCTGCAGAGGGTTACAAGGATTTGTAAGAAAAAAAAATGACTATCTTTGTTAAAATAACCTGCATCAAATGTACGGCCGACATATATATAGACATTACCAAAATATAACATACCAAAGGCACATGAAACAAGCGGGATATATGAGGACGTACTTACTAGTGAATCGCAAGTTCTCAACAAGTCATTATTACATAAGATACTCGTGACATACCAGGGGTCCTTGACTAAGCGTTGGTACTGTCTCGAAAGCACAATCAGGTTCTGATGGAGGAGTAATAGAGCGTTATATAAAGAGAATTACGGTGAAGCACAACAGTAAATTATTAGGAAATAACTAGATACAACAGTTTAACGAAAAAAGTTTAGCTACAAACTCCCTCTTCCCCACCCCACACCCTCAATTCAGGCTAATCAAGAAAAGACCAGTATTTCAAAATGATAACATTTAGTAAATATCAATCTTATATGGGGGTGTTTTTATTAAATGTTACTTATTTCTATTTTAACCTTTTCATAATTATTCAACTAAAAGTTTGACATTACCCTTCAACGCAACCGAAAGATCTTCCTCCTTGATGTCCTTTACTCCCACAGAATTCGAAGTTCCTTCCTCCAAGAAACTGGCTTGTTTGATAGCAGATTTCATATTGGCATCAATCTACATTTCTCCATTTTCTGGAGCATCACATAACACATCGCCATTATTACCAACATTATCACCACCAGGAGATCCATCGGCAGGACTATCATTCTCTTCTATTCAACCGCGATGAACCATATTATCCAAATATAAATCATCAAATATATAAATGTTTAATTAATCATGATTCTCATCCAAACCGATCAGTGTTAACATAATAGATTATGTATTTGTTATAGCATTTTATGTATAGGAATAGCACTTTATGTAAAATAAGTATTACCTCATATATTTAGGAGTAGCACTTTTATCTCATTAGGGTTAATTGTGTACTCCATATAAATAGGACATAAACACTGTACAGAGACATTTTTTCTTCGGTTCTCATTCCTGATAATACAAGCTTTCCTTTCATCTTCTTCAACCTCTCTATATCAATTTGTATATCAATCTCAATCTTTACATGGTATTAGTCGCCGGCTGATCGCCGATCATATCACTGTTTTTCGCTGCATATTTTGTTCCTCATATCACAAATCACGTTTGTTCATCATATCTCTGATCGCATTTTATTCGAACCCTAATTTTTGTTCGATATATCTCTGATCTCTCTGTTCTTTGTTCGATTCAGATCTAATCGATTTTAATCTGTTCATCTCTTTACAGATTCAACTCGATTTGATTTATTTTGTCATAAATCGTTTATTCTTCGATTCATTCGCTGATATTTTTGACGATTAGCACGATTCTAATCCAGATCTGTACAAACATCTATATTCTTTGTACGATTTTGATTTCAATTTGTGCTATTGTCCTTTAGATCCTGTTTACTCTTTATTTTTTTTGCAGATCTCATGGCTGTTCATCTCTCTGACGATCCGAACTCTCACTACTTCTTACATCCAAGTGACAATCCCGGTGCTATCATTGTTGTCGAGGTCTTTGATGGCAACAACTACGTTTCCTGGTCCCGCGCCGTGTCCATGGCCCTCAGTGTAAAAAACAAATTAGGGCTAATCGATGGTACTATCTCTATACCCTCTCCTACTGATAGCAGTTCTGAGTTCTTGGCATGGACACGTGCGAATAATCTGGTATTGTCTTGGTTACTAAATTCCATTTCAAAAGACATCAGACAATCTTTACTTTTCTTCACAAAGGCAAAAGATGTCTGGGATGAGTTACGAGCTAGATATGCATTGAGCAGTGGTCCTCGTGTTTTCCAAATAGAAAAATCTTTGAGTACAATGGACCAAGGCTCCATGACCATTACTCAATACTATAACTCTTTCAAAACCTTATGGGATGAGTACTTATCTTTCAGACCTATAATCCGTTGTTCTTGTGGTGCCTTATCTTCTTGCACCTGCAACATATTTGAGTCCATGTCCCTATCTCAACAGTCAGACTCTGTAATAAAATTTTTAATTGGTTTAAATGAGTCTTACTCTGCTCTGAGATCCCATTTCCTATTATCTACTCCCTTACCAAGCCTCAGCAAAGTATACTCTCTCCTCCTTCAAGAAGAAAGCCAGAGAGCCTTACAATCTACTTCAAAACCACTTGATCACCTTGCCATGGCTGTCAAAACTCATTTCCCTCCAAAACACAATTACAAAACAAATTTCAGAACCTCTGATAACCCTACAAACAAAGACCAACCAAAACCTCGCCCTAAATGCTTTCATTGCGGTTACCTTGGCCACACCAGTGACAAATGTTATCAGTTGGTTGGCTATCCTGCTAATTGGGAAGGACCTCGTGGTACAAGGATTCACCCCAAACACTCTGCTAATTCTGTGACATCATCTCACTCCAATTCTAATGCTATGAATGATTCTTCCATGACTGACCATCTCTTTCATGAATTCTTAGCTTTCAAAAAGTCAAAAAATCTAATGCTCCATTATCTGAGGTCACTCACTCTCCTGCTGTGGCTAATGCTTGTGTCACTCAACCTAGCTCTACCACAGGTATGCTCACTTCTACAATATGTTCTGCATATTCTAATCATAATTCATATACATGGATACTAGATACAGGGGCATCAGACCATATGATATGTGATATGTCATTGTTCACTTCTAATGTGCGTCCTATATCTACACATGTTAATCTACCAAATGGTCAAAGCACATTAGCATCTCATATTGGTGACATTGTCATATCTCCATTCATTACACTAAGGAAAGCATTATTTGTTCCATACTTCAAATTTAACCTGATTTCCATATCCAAACTAGCATATACAAATAATTGTGCAATAAAATTCTTTGCATCCCACTGCATTATACATGATTTAACATCCAACAAGATGATTGGTTCTGCTAAGGCCAAAGATGGATTATACCACTTTGACCCCAGCTGCTCAACTACTCTTCAAAAACCAACAACTATCAACCTTGTAACACATGACACATCTTGCAATAACCTTGTAACCTCTGATATCTGGCATTCTAGATTAGAACATTTATCATTCCATAAACTGTTGCAACTTGACATTCCTGTTACAAAGACTATGCATCATAAAACTCCATGTGATGTCTGCCATTTCTCTATACAGAAAAAGTTACCTTTTTCTTTGAGTAATTCTGTTGCCAATAGTGCTTTTGAGTTGATTCACTGTGATGTCTGGGGACCATTCTCTGTTCCTTCTTATGCTGGGCATAGGTACTTTCTAACCATTGTAGATGACTTTACTAGAACCACTTGGTTATATCCTCTTTTACAAAAGTCTGATACAAGCTCTAGTATCAAACACTTTCATACCCTAGTTCAAAATCAATTTAAAAAATCTATAAAGTTTCTCAGGTCTGATAATGGTACTGAATTTATATTATCTGATTTTTCTAAAGAGAAAGGTATCATTCATCAGAAAAGCTGTGTAGATACTCCACAACAAAATGCTAGGGTTGAAAGGAAACATCAACATATTTTGCAAGTGGCTAGAGCTTTTCTGTTTCATGCACATTTGCCTTTACAATTCTGGATAGATTGCATATTGGCTGCTGTTCATGTCATTAACAGGATTTCTACTCAAGTTTTGAATAACAAATCACCTTATGAAATTTTATATAATAACTCTGCTTCCCTTGATCATTTAAGAACTATTGGGTGTCTTTGCTATGCTTCTACTCTTCAATCTCATAGACATAAATTTGCCCCTAGAGCATCTAAATGCATATTTCTTGGCTATCCATTGGGTCATAAAGGTTACCAACTTTATGATTTAGATACCAAGAAGACATTAATTTCTAGAAATGTTGTGTTTTATGAGACTGTTTTCCCTTTCAAAACCCCATTAAATAATCCCATTCATACACCATTGTTTACTGAACCCAACTCTTTTGACCATTATTCACCTCTGTCCATTGTTAATACTATCCAACCTCTACAACAACAAAATACTATCACTCCTGAATCCAATAACCAATTCATTACATCTGCTCCAATCCATTCATCTTCATAACCTTCTGTTGCTCCTTCACAACCATCTGTTGTTCCTTCACAAACACAAAACCCTAACCCATCACATATATCTCCCATCAGAAGATCAACAAGAACCAGAAAAAACCCAGCCTATCTCAAAGCTTATAGATATAACCTTCATCCATCTTCCAATCAAGTTTCTATAGAACAGTCTCCAAACATTTCTACAACATCACAACTTTATCCCATAGAATCTTTCTTTCTATGAACAATCTTTCTCATAATCATGCATGCTTTACTTCTGCAATCACAAATGAAACTGAACCAAAAACATACAAGCAAGCATCATCTAATCCTTTATGGCAAGAAGCCATGCAAAAAGAATTATCTGCATTAGAAAAGTCCAATACTTGGCATCTCACTGAATTACGTACAGGTAAACACCCTATTGGCTGTAAATGGGTATTTAAAATAAAATATAAAGCTGATGGTTCAATAGAAAGATATAAAGCTAGGCTAGTAGCAAAAGGATACACACAGGAAGAAGGGATAGATTATTTTGACACCTTTAGCCCTGTTGCTAAAATCACTACTGTGAGAGTCCTCATTGCTTTAGCTTCTATTAACCATTGGCACTTAGAACAATTAGATGTAAATAATGCCTTTTTGCATGGGGACTTAGAAGAAGAAGTTTATATGATACCACCCCCTGGATACTGTTCTCAAACTGACAATAGAGTTTGCAAAATAAACAAAAGCCTTTATGGTTTAAAACAGGCATCCAGGCAGGGTTCCATAAATTGACTCAATGCTTGCTTGATTATGGGTTTTCTCAATCCATTTCTGATTGTTCATTATTCATCATGAAGTCTTCTACATCCTTTCTTGCATTATTAGTCTATGTTGATGATGTTATATTAGCTGGCAATGATCTTTCTGCAATAAAGGCCATCAAGTCTCACCTTGACAAATGCTTTACAATCAAAGATTTAGGCCAGTTAAAATATATTTTAGGTCTGGAAATTGCTCAATCTTCTGCAGGTATAAATATTTGCCAAAGAAAATATGCTTTGGACATATTAAATGATACTGGATATTTAGGAAGTAAACCTACTTCTACTCCTATGGATGCAAACCTTAAACTTACCAGTCTTAATGATAATGATGCATCTGTAGATGCTACTGCATATAGGAGATTAATTGGCAGATTGTTGTATTTAACTATTACAAGGCCTGATATCTCTTATAGTGTGCAAAGTTTGAGTCATTTTTTGGTCAATCCCAAACAGCAACATCTTACTACAGCCCACAGAATTCTCAGGTATCTCAAACAAACAGTGGGACAAGGTATATTCTATCCTAGATCTTCTTCTTTATCTCTCACTGCATATAGTGATTCAGATTGGGCAGGCTGCATAGATACTAGAAGAAGTGTTTCAGGTTATGCTTTATTTCTTGGTAACTCTTTAATATCTTGGAAATCTAAGAAGCAACCTACTATTAGCAAATCTTCAGCTGAAGCTGAATATAGAGCTTTGGCCTATACATCATGTGAGGTGCAATGGTTACTTTACTTATTGAAAGATTTAAATGTTCCTCGCAATGCTCCTGTTTGCATTTTTTCAGATAGTAAAGCTGCATTATCCATTGCTACTAACCCAGTCTTCCATGAGAGGACCAAACATATAGAGTTGGACTGTCACCTTATCAGGGAGAAGA